CGAGTCTACACACCAACCAACTACTGCTCCCGTGATGAATCTGAATAATTATATGCCGATAACTCTACTACTAGAATCACATCTGATTCTCTACACTAGTCTCATCTGTTGCATATTCATTTGCCTTATCTTCCATACTACAAAATTTGTCTTGTCGTTAAATAGCAGAATATCGAACTTCGAACCCAAAGAAGTCAGCATCCCCTAGCCGCAATAAAAATTCAAAACAGTCAATGTAGAGATTGAATTTGATAAAACCGACATAAAAAATAAACTCAGCACGTTAAAAAACCTTAGGAATGACTCCTGGATCACTGATGGGTTCTAAATAATATCCAAAAATTTCAAGTGCACAACTATCAAGTTATAGTATAAAAAGTTGTCGATCCCACGAGAAAGATGATTGTAGGAGATAATTAGAATTGGTTCTTATGTTATGTGCATGACAATTAGGAGTGATGATTGTGTGTGATTGTGGATAGATAAGGAAAGTAGTTGTGAAAATATGCAAATAAAGAGAGTAAAATGAGGTTGAGAAGAGAGAAGGAAATCAAAGAAAATAAAGAGGAAAGTAAATAATGAAAAATAAAAATAAAGAGAAAATTCAAGAAAGTAAAGATGGAGGATATGGGGAATCTAGAATTGAATCTACTAGCTAATTTGAATTATAAAATATGAACCATTCTCTTTGTATCACATTTTACTTTAAATTTATTAAGCATAAGCTATCAAACCACTTAATAAAAGCATAACATATCAAATTATCATCTAAGCAAAATTAATATTTATGAAAAGAACAATAACTAGATAGTAATTTCAGAATTCATAAACATAACCTATCAAACCACTCAAGATAAGCATACATTATCAAATTATTCTTTTACTAATTAGTTCTCTAGTTGATTAGCCTACAAATGATCATTTTAAGTGCAAGAGAATAATCCACACAAATATAAAAGAAATTAGACTAGTTTCATATATTTCCTACAAGAATTAGTTCCACATCTTAAGAAATAAAAAAAAGAAATAAAATAAAAGAATATAATGAAGATAAAAACTAATTACAAAGAAAAAATGAGAACAAAGAAATTTACACTATGAACATATAAATAAATCTAGCTAAATTGTAAAAGAAAAGAACATAAATAAAAATCTAGATTATGCGAGAAAATAAATCTACTCTAGAAATTAAAAGTGCAAGATAATAATGAAAAATAAAGACAAGAATGTAATCTACTCTACAAGGCATTAATATAAATCTAACTACTAAAGCAAGAAGAAAATAAAAAAAATAAAAATAAAAGAGAAAATTTACAATACAAGAGGGGTTAACCTCATGAAATCAAACCTTCAAATTGATCTTCATTTTCATCTTCATCTTCATCATCATCAACCAATAAAGAGAAGAAAAATATAAAGAGGTGAAAAAATCTTTTATTAATTGCAACAAAAGTTACAAATTTAGAAGGTCTTCTTAATTAAAAGTAACACTCCTCTCCAAATGGAGTTACAAAATTTTTTACACCCTCAACCCCTATTTATAGCCTACAGCAATGAATGAGGACCCTTAGATAAAACTTGATCCCCAAGCTAATCTATTTCATCCCTTAATTCCGTTACAGTAAACATGTATCGATAGCAGTATCGATATGGGTATCAATACCGCTATCGATATGGATACTACTATCGATAGCAATATTGATAGCTAGCCTTAGTCGATTCTTCTCTTAGGCTTTGTCTCTTGGGCTTTGTTGAGAGTTGAGATCTTAGACTTTTATTCAATATTTCTTCATTACTTGAAATTTAAGATAAAAACAATTATTAGTGGTATATTTATTCATGTAAAATAGATAATGAGTGTATAAACTTGTAATAAAAATGTGATTATCAATCACCAAAATTCACCTCCAAATGCTCGATCAAAACACAAATCAATCTCAACCATCAGATCTATATGAATAGTATCCCGCCACCACTACAATATTTGCTACAGTAATTTTCCTCTTATTTTCCCTCTTCATCTTGATTATTGTAATGCTGATATTCAATCTTGCACACCGTCACCTTCTATCTTGCAAACTTGCTCCTGGATTCATCAACGTCACTCTGATACCACTTGTTAGGGAATTTTAGTCTCCCCACCTACTATGATCTGTGCAACTTGGAAGCCAACCCACAATCAATAAGATATAAAATAACTATATTCAAGAAGAAAGAACATTGAGATTTACGTGGTTCGATTGACTAACTTCGACCTACGTCCACGGGACAACAAATACGAGAAATCTACTATGTATCATCGAGAACTATAAGAGGAACCACTCAACTTTCGTCTCTCAATCTCTTAACGTCACATACATAATCAACTCTCATATTCTCTCCAAAGTCCTCTCCTTACAATCTTTTGAACGGACAAAGACTGCGAAACATAATCAACTCTCATATTCTCTCCAAAGTCCTCTCCTTACAATCTTTTGAACGGACAAAGACTGCGAAACTCTCTCCCAATGATGTAATCTTTTGTACGGACAAAGACTACGAAACTCTCGCCTCTCGCACATTATTCTTGAATCAGGCTACGCCCTCTACTAACTCTAAATTACAAGAATATTAGCTATCTCCATTCTCCTTGGTTTTTCCTCCAACAATAGAAGAATATATATAGGAAACCAAAACCCTATCTCTAGCCTAACTTCCTAATTATAATAGGATTAAAACTCCTAATCATGATGAGAGTCAATTTTCTAATCATGATAGATCACTAACCCTATCTAATTCTCATAAAGTTATCCGAAACATCAAAGACACAATCCCAATACCTACGTTGCCTGATAAAACCAATACTTAAACGTTCATTTGGTAATGAAATAAAGTATTCATTTAACCCAAAAATAGTATATTTAGGTGAGCATGCTTTTGTCATCCTTAAATTGTACAGTTTTTAAAAGTTTATAGGTAGAACTTTAATGAGTAGGGCATATTGCCCTACTTTTAACTTAAAAAAGAAAGTATTAATTTCCTCAAATTCTAATCTAAAGCATAACCGTCAAATTCTGAACTCAAGCATCACGGTCAAAAAATATCATGAATGCAGAATCTTCGCCTGATATATAGAAAGGCTTATGCTTGTCTTACGCAAACGTATCTTGAATTGCAAATTCAATGGTTGGCTGGTCAACAACTTTCAGCAAAACCACACACATCAACTTCGCTTGGTCAAGATGTAGGCTAGATTCTAAAGTACGCATTTGTGTTGCTTATAAAGGATTTGTCTCAAGACTAAACAACCAAGACGCGTAGAGAAATTAATTAGTTACGCCATTTAGTAAAAATAAGGATCGTCTGTGTTTTATAACTTTATTCTTTGAGTGGAAATATAATTGCCCAAAATCATAGTACATTTATATTTTTATATAAACTTGTTATGATCCATTCTAACGATAAATATTAGGACAAATTTTCAAAATCAACCAATTTCGAAATTTAAATAGCAAAACCGATCTTTTTGAAATTTAAATAGCAAAACCGACCCTTTTCTTCTGAAAAGGGTCGGTTTTGCTGCTGAAGAATTTTTACGACATACACGGGACTGCTAGTCCCGTGTATTTCGTGGCAGTTTCGATTAACACGGGACTAGCAGTCCCATGCGATCGGGGGTAAAAAGTCGACCCGTGACTTTCTTCATCTTGACCGCACTCCTTTTCACCCAAACCCATTCACCCCTCCTCTTTCACCCGCTCCTCAAACCCAGCGGCTTCCTCCACTGCCGCCGCCGACCAAGCGCCCTCCGACCACCGCCGCCGCCGACCAAGCGCCCTCCGACCACCGCCTCCGCCGGACAAGTTTGCTCCGACCACCGCCGGCCAAGTTTGCTCCGACAAGGTAAATGTGGTTTTTTTTTAATTTTGATTAGCCATGAAATTTCGGATTTGGGAATGGATTTGGGTTGGGATTTGGGAATTATGGTTGAGATTTGGGAATGGATTTAGTTGAGATTTGGGATTAAGGTTGAAATTTGGGAATGTATTTGAGATTAGGGTTTAGACATGATTAGGGTTTAGACATGAATAATGTGATTTGAGATTAGGGTTTAACCATAATTAGGGTTTAGACATGAATAATGTGATTTGGGATTAGGGAATTTAGCAATTATTTGCTTTGTAGTTGAGATTAGGGTTTTAAATTTGACTTTAAATTAAGATTAATATTTACAGTTATAATAGATTATTTACATATGATGGACTGTTGATTTTCAGCTTCGATGGCAAACTCTATACCCATTATTTGCTTCTTCAATGGGAGCCTCGGCGTCGGATTGAATAGTATGCCGATGTATGAGGGAGGTTCTAGGAAAATGTTTATGCTATCCAAGTCATTAAATTTTGATGGAATGATGAATGAAATACACAGAGTTACGAAAATTAATAAAGCATGGTATGCAATTAAAGTGTTCTTCAATTGTCCGATAAATGAGAGTAGAACTATTGCTGTGGCGATTACCGATGATGAGGAATTGAATGATATGAAACAATTAGTGGAGAAGCAAGTGTCAGTTGAGTTGTTCATTGAGAAGTATCCGATTCAAGAATTTGCCCAAGTTTCACGACCACAAGGAGAGTTTTCTCGGATGATGGACTTAGACAATGAGTCGAGTGGTTTTATGACATCTCCAAGTCAAGAGCCGTGGTGTCAACTACAACATTTAAGTGGGCATTCTCTTGGTGGGACGTCAAGTACTATATTTAACGACGCATCGGGCTATGTTACGGGTGATCTACCGGCCGGATCAATTGTAGAAGAAGAAGTAAATGATGACTCAGAAGATATTGAAGAAGAAGAAGTGCAAATTGATAGCATGCATGTGGTAGTTGGAATCGATGATGATTCTCGTTAGATGGATCAATTTAATGTTAACAATGATTATGTGGAAGCTGAAGATCCGTTGCCCGACGAGTTTCATAATGAAGATTGGATAAATACTTCGCAAGCTGAATTTGTTGATGTTGGTCCAAACTTTCAACGGCCTGAAGACTTCACTTTTAAAAAAGGGGACCTATTCGAGAGCAAGGAAGCATTTGCTTCGACAATTTGGTCTTGCACAACATGTTCCGCAAATTGTTGAAAAAATAGAGAGGAAGGCGAAGAAAGGAGGCCAACAAAAGGACTGGGCAGCTGAGCATCAAAATTATATACACAGATGGAATGATAGACATTTTTGTATTGTTGAGCAAATCGAGCCAACTCCCCAGGAATCAGATTACTACACTTGGTATTGGAGGATAACTAGAAGATGGATACTCCATGCGACCACATCCCCGGTTGAGTTGCAAAGAGGATATGTGCCTCGGGGTATAGATGAGAGAGAATTAGTAAGTATTTTTAAATTTATTTTAAGTTTATTTTTATTAGAATTTTTCAATATTGCTAAATTATGTTTTTTTAAAAATTTGCAGGTATCAGCAATAGATGATGTTCAAACCATTGCAAATAGTGGCTTGGAATTGGCTCGAGCAGGTAATATAGAATTAAATATAAAATTTACATATTGTAATTTGAATTTTAAAGTAATTTTTGTATTTTGGAATTTTTTGAATTATCTCTGGCAGGTACATATCCCGAAGCACAGAAACATGCATCAATATATCAGTCGATAATGCAGAGGCTTCACCAAGCCTTACATCGAACTCATGAAGACCTTCATGATGGACGAGAAGTAGCGCAATTAGTATACACACGTCAACAACGACACAGACGAGGACGACGCAGAAACGACAATGAAGCTAGGCCTTCCCAACGTGTTGACGATGGAGCTGGACCGTCACAACCACAAACGCAACCGGATCATGAACTCATCGAAGGTCGGGATAGAGGAGGCCGAAGACAAAGGAGGAGGAGAAGAGTTCTTGGATGTATGTAAGCTAATTGGTATTGTTATATAAATTACAATCCTATTTTGATATGTACATTACAAACGTATTTCGGGACAATAGATGGTTTTTGGATTTGTAGCTGAGATTGTGGTATGACTTATTAGATTTGTAAGTGGGTTTGTGGCTTGATTTGTTGGATTTGGATTCGTAAGTTTGTGGCGTGATTTGTTGGATTTGGATTCGTAAGTTTGTGGTGTATTTTATGATTTTTAGATTTGATATGTGTTTATACAGGGAATTGACATGAGTTTGTACAGGGAATTGATATATGTGTTTATGCAATGGTGTAATTTATGATTGTTGCATTTGAAATATGAGTTTGTACAGGGAATTATCCCGTAGCAGAAAGGCATGCATAGTTGTGAATGTGCAGGAAATGCACGGGACTGCTAGTCCTGTGCATTTCATTGCGCCCAGGAATTGCACGGGACTAGCAGTCCCGTGCTCTTTTTTTTTGCAGAGACAGAAGTCTCTGCAAAATGCACGAGACTGCTAGTCCCGTGCATTTCTTTTTTGCAGACTCTCTGCAAAATGCACGGGACTAGCAGTCCCGTGCACTTCATTTTTGTAGGCAAGTTAGTCTCTGCAATAAACACGGAACTGCTAGTCCCGTGTTAATCGAAACTGCCACGAAATACACGGGACTAGCAGTCCCGTGTATGTCGTAAACGAAATACACGGGACTAGCAGTCCCGTGTATGTCGTAAAAATTCTTCAGCAGCAAAACCGACCCTTTTTAGAAGAAAAGGGTCGGTTTTGCTATTTAAATTTCAAAGAGGTCGGTTTTGCTATTTAAATTTCGAAATTGGTTGATTTTGAAAATTTGTCCTAAATATTATCATATATATCCCCTGTAAAGATGCATATCTGAACGACTAAATTAGGATGTGGAGGTCCATTTGCACATATAAACTCTAAATAATCGTGACTTTTGCTCTGGATGTCTGATTGAGATGATCAAAGAGCCCACGAAAGACTCTGTTCAAATTCTACGCGGCTCAAGCACTTTTTGAGGCCCAAATCCTTCATTTCTGACAATTTTTTAAGTAGGCCATTATGGCTCATATTTAAACTATTTTGTGTTATTTTGCTTCGTTTTTTTAGCTAAAATCATTCAGCTATTCCTCTTTAGGCATATATTCTTTGTTTTCAGCGATTTAGGGGTTTTGGATCTGTAGTTGTCAGGCAGATTATTCTATTTTGAGATTATTGAACTTAATTTGAAAGCTTAGTTTCCTATCATACATTTTTGTTGTATCAAATGGCATTGTTTTCACTTTTTTTATTGTAAACAAATCATAAACACCACTGAACAATAAATAACGTTGTCCCACTGAAGCAATAAATTTCTCCATCATTTATCAAAGAGTTCAGAAGAAAAATTAATAGTTAATCTGTGGGAAAAGAAATCTTACGATCAAGTTCAATGTCGAAATTAAAGCAGCATTCAGAATGATCTTTGGCTGTTTGATTCCTTTATTTAGTTTGTGACTGATTCCTACTTTTTGTAACGTCCACACACCATCTATTAATGCACCGTAAGGTGTTGGTTGCAGGGTTTATATAATGGTAAACTTATAATTCGGTTGCAGTAGGCTAAAGGCATTGAGAGAGAAAGAAAATTATATATTTCCTTTATTTTATCTTCTTATAATTAATTCTCTCTTGGATTCCTTTTGAGTTTAACAGTCAAATGAAAGCAATCAAGTGGCAACCAGAGATTGTTATTTTAGTAAATATTATAGGAGATCAGAAGAACAATGTCAGACATTAAAAAGTACGTAAGACCATAATTTATTTTGTAGTAACATATTATACATCAATTGAACATAACGTCATCATGAACGTCAAATAGTCATTGTGTAGATTCAGCTCTCTTTGACCTCGATGTCACTTTTGTACATTATGCTTGTGGAACAATATGGCCTGAAAACAGTTCAAAAGATATAAAATTGTAAAGAAGAACACGGTAGACATGCTATAAAGGTTTAGAAAATATTTGCGAGCAAGAACTCAATAAGTATGTTATATTTAGGAGAAAATTATGAAGTAGTATATTTGTTCATAATTATCTCTAATTCATGCGATGGATAAATAGTCAAGCTTTAGAATTTTTTCAGTCATATTAGAACTATGATATTCTTGCGGACATTAGATTTTCTATTGTAAGGAAACTATACACTTCGAATCAATTTTATGTAAGTGAAATTTTTTTGTATATCCCAAATAAATAAATGCTAATCCTCATCTTTAAGCTGCTAATTTATGAATATGTTGTTTTTTCATGTAGCATAAAACTATTTTATCTTATATAAATGCTTGAGAAATTAAAAATCTTATATAAATGCTTAAGAAATTAAAAAAACTTACTTCCACATTTTGTTCCCTTTTTTAATGGATTTCCACATGCATGAGTTGTTGCGCGCAGCGGAAATTTCGGCAGCACTTCGGTAGCACAACAAGAGTTAGGTCGCAATAAGAATTCTTGTTTCTCAAAGGGAATAAGAATCTGAAGTCTAATATCTCATCAAAGTGGGATATTAGCTCTTCCTCTCGTCAGCTCTAGGACTGCGCGTTGAGGGAACCTAAAAGCTATTACAAATCACACAAATAGCAGTACAACCAATTTTACGTGGTTCGGCAAATTGCCTACGTCCACGGGGCAAGGAGGGGGGAGATCTACTAATAGAGGGAGAGAATACAACTAGGGTTTACAATCACTCACAAACTAAACCCTCAAACAAACTCTCAAATCCCTCACAATAACTCTCTACAAAAGGATGCACAAAACCCAAAAAAACTGATTTTTCTCTTGAGTTTTTCTCCTGCTGCAATTTCCTCCTGCAGCCGCAAAAAGCACCCAGCCGCAATACAAATCAAACCTCCTGCTCAACCTCCGAAAAAAAATACCTAGCACGGGTATTTATAGTACGAAGCAGCTTCAGATTTGGGTGGGCCGACTTGAGTTCGAAGAATAAAAAACAATCTTTGAAACACGTGCTGCCTCCCACGCGTAAATCACTCAACGCGGAAACGAGGGTGTTCACAAATAACGTGGGCCCCCAATCACATGTTCACAATTCTCCACCTTGGTGAAGTTTTCCCAAAACTGAGCCGACACCAAAGCATCCAATGTGTCTAGTACGAACTCAATCCACAACAAGTCGACAACCCGAACGAGAGTCCAAACAATCTCACCCCCATCAAAATCAACTAATCCAAACCGGCTACATCAAAAAGACTGCCTACGTATCCTCTTGACCAAGGAATCAAGCCGAACGTAGTTCACCCAAATGGCCGCCAACGGCCTCAACAATCACGAATGTACAACAAGTTTCGATAATGATCAAACTTGTTGCTCGGAACCACCTTAGTGAGCATATCCGCCGGATTATCCTTCGTGTGAACCTTCACAAGTTCCACATCGCCATCTTCAAGAACATCCCGAACGAAGTGATAACGAACGTCAATGTGCTTCGTCCTCGCATGAAAAACCTGATTCTTCGCCAAATAGATAGCACTCATGTTATCACAATGAATAGCGACGGACCTCTGTGATATACCAAGTTCCTCCAAAGGTCCTCGAAGCCAAATAGCCTCCTTCACAGCCTCTGTAACTGCCATATACTCTGCCTCCGTCATAGACAAAGCCACCGTCGACTGTAAGGTGCATCTCTAATACACCGGAGCACTGGTCAAAGTAAACACATACCCCGTAGTAGACCGACGCTTATCCAAATCCCCGGCATAATCCGAATCAACATAGCCAATGCATAGCTGCCCACCTGTAGTGTCCCGCTCATAAACTAAACCAACATTGAGCGTACCTCGAATGTACCTCAAAATTCATTTCACGGCATCCCAATGACCCACTCCTGGATTGTGCATGTATCTCGATACCATGCTTACCGCCTGTGACAAATCTGGCCTCGTACATACCATCGCGTACATCAAGCTCCCAACCGCACTCGCATATGGAGTCTTCGACATCAACTCTCTATCTTCAACTGACTTCGGTGAAAGACCAGCTGAAAGCTTCAAATGGGCTCCCAATGGTACACTAACTGGCTTCGTATCTATTCTAACATTGAATCGCTGTAGAACCTTCTTCAAATAAGCCACATGTGTCAAACAAATTCTGCCCTTCTTCTTGTCTCTGCCGATCTCCATTCCTAGAATGCGCTTCACCTCACCCAAGTCTTTCATCTCAAACTCATTTGATAGCTGAACTTTCAATTCATCTATAGCCGACCTGGAAATAGAGGCAACCAACATGTCGTCGACATAGAGCAATAAATAAATGTACGCACCTCCTTTCAACTTGTGAAAATATACGCAAGGATCAAACTGGCTCCGAGTGTACGAATGACCAAGCATAAAACCATCGAATCGCCTATACCACTATCGAGGAGACTGCTTTAAACCGTTATAGCGATTTCTTCAGTTTGCAAACTAATTTTTCCTTCCATGCAGCTCGGAATCCCAATGGCTGAGTCATATATATTTCTTCATCAAGATCACCATGAAGAAATATCGTCTTCACATCCAACTGATCTAACTCCAAACCATATTGTGCCACCAAAGCTAGCAAAATCCGAATCGAAGAATGCTTCACCACCGGAGAGAAAACCTCATTGTAGTCAATACTTTCCTCCTGTGCATAGCCCTTCGTAACTAATCTAGCTTTGAACCTCAATAGAGTGCCCTCATTGCCCTCCTTCTTCGTGTATACCCACTTTCAACCAATTGCCTTCCGCCCCTTTGGAAGCTCAACAAGCTCCCATGTATCGTTCTTATGAAGAGATTCCATCTCCTCCTGCATAGCCACTTGCCACGAATCAGCCTCCAAACTCTGCTCGGCCTCTCTGAATGTAGTAGGCACTAACTCATCGATACTCTCCATCGGAAGTGCATACGCAACTGTGTCGGCATACCGTGCTGGCATCTGTATATTTCTCCTCTGTCTCTGAACCGCAATAGAATTCTGAACCTGAGCCGTCGGTTCCTGATCCTGCACATTTGTACTCGTATCCTCCGTGTCACCGTCGTGCTCGCCTGGCGTCACCTCAGTCGGCACTCTAAC